AAGATTCTGTGCAGGAGAATGAGAAATGCAGAGTGAATTGTTTCCCAGCAGTAATTCTGAATTCCAGCAGCTGTATCTGTTTACATCTGAACTCAGATTTAGGGAGAAAATATTTTCAGACATTTCTCCATTTCTCTTCTCTTGGTTCTTTGATTGGGTTGCTTGATTGTCTAGTAGGTACTTATCATCATCTTTCAGTTTAGCAACCTTGGCTGAAAGATAACTTTCCTTCCTGATTCGCTTCTGCAGAAATGTTGGGATTCAGTATTATCTGTCCAATTTGGGTAACATACCTATTCCTGAACTACTGCTTGCGAGAAGGAGTATGCTGATTTCCCAGACCTGGGTTATGTTCCTACCCCAGAAACATTAGAGTGCTGGTGATCAGTGCCACCCAAACCACGTGGATTGATGATAAGAGAAGGAAAGTTTGGGAAAAGAAAATTAAGATGCTGCTGCCAACAGAAGGGGAGATAGATGCTTCAGAGTAAAAAAACAACATAGGTCTATTACTGACATGCACATGCAACTCACAGTCATTTTTAAAAATAGAATCTTATTGTATATGGGTGTAACTACTTCATCTGTTTTTCACCTACCACATATCATGAACAAGAAATTTTCTTTGAAAACAATTTTATTTTATTTTTAAATTTTATTTTATTATTTATTTATTTATTTTTGAGACGAAGTTTCATTCTTGTTGCCCAGGCTGGAGTGCAGTGGTGCCATCTTGGCTCATTGCAACCTCCACCTCCCAGGTTCAAGTGATTCTCCTGCCTCAGCCTCCCAAGTAGCTGGGATTACAGGCATGTGCCAGCACGCCTGGCTAATTTTGTATTTTTAGTAGACATGGGGTTTCTCCATGTTGGTCGGGTTGGTCTTGAACTCCCAACCTCAGGTGATCCACCCGCCTTGACCTCCCAAAATGCTGGGATTACAGGCATGAGCCACTGTACCCGGTTGTGAAAACATAATTTTGAGTGGTTGTAAAATTATACTTAAATTCATTGTTTAAAATAGATACTTAGTTTATCAGAATTGGATTTTGAAAAATTAAGGGGATATTTATTAGAGAAGTGGGGAGAGTAGAGATGGGAAAGAGTAGAGCCAGGACCAGGGTAAGGCAAGAGAGTTGCCTAGGACACAAAATATGAGACATAATCACTTTTAGGGTCATGCAACTGCAGGGTGGCACTTGCATGATCCTGAGAGTATCTTCTTAAATTTTGCACCCCAGGTATTTCTCTTGCATCACCCTAGTCCCATTTGTGAAGAGAAGCGTATTTCAGGGAATAGGAACTACGTTTTGGCTATGTATGTGAGTTAGAGATGAAAGTATGTGTAATTGAGGAAGTTGGTGGGGAAGATTAAGGTGCATTAGAAAGCAGTCGTTGCGCGTTTTCAACTGTTATGTATGGAAACCTTTGCTGAGTCTGGTAAGCATGATAATACCTTTGAAGTAACACAAGGAATATAATTTTTTTGATTCATAGGTTTATAGTGGTTTGAATTTTAAAAGTTCCATTTAGTGGCTGGGCATGGTGGCTCACGCCTGTAATCCCAGCACTTTGGGAGGCTGAGGCAGGTGGATCACGAGGTCAGGAGATTGAGACCATCCTGGCTAACACGGTGAAACCCCATCTCTACTACAAATACAAAAAATTAGCTGGGTGTGGTGGTGGGCACCTGTAGTCCCAGCTACTCAGGAGGCTGAGGCAGGAGAATGGCATGAACTCGGGAGGTGGAGCTTGCAGTGAGCCGAGATGGTGCCACTGCACTCCAGCCTGGGCGACAGAGGAAGACCCTGTCTCAAAAAAAAAAAAAAAAAGTTCCATTTAGAGATGCCACCAAAAACGGTTGTTACTTTTAACCCAAATCTTTTCACTATCAAAGAAAAATGCTTTTTGTTTCATTGAAAAATAAAAATTATAGAAAAGACTGAGTTGGCGATTGAGACATAATACATGGGTCCTTTGACTAGCTTGCTTGCTTTTCTCTCTCTTTTTTTTTTTCTTGACAGGGCATTGCTGTCTTACCCAGGCTTGAATACAGTGGTGTGATCACAGCTTGTTGCAGCCTTGACCTCCTAGGCTTAAGGGATCCTTCTGCCTCAACCTCCTGAGTAGCTAGGACTACAGTTGCCTAGCTTTCCTGAGCAAGATACTTGACACTGCTCAATATTGGGCCTGAAATCTCAGTTGAATAGTTGTCTTTCTTGAACTTAGGTCTGTGGAAACCATTTCCATAGCAAAGTGAGAGACCAGAACAGGGAATCCTAAATAATGCAACTATCTTTGCTGATAGAAAAGAGAGTTAAAAAATTTTTAATATTAATTGGATAATCCAGTAATTTTTGGCTTTGTCTTTGGAGTGTAATTGGATACATATAGAATGTGTTTTGTTCCTCAGAAAGCTGTGTGAGTAATACTGTTTACTGAACTATACCCTGGGGGTTTAATTAAAGATGATATATTGAAAGCTGCATAAAAGTGAAGTCATGACTGAATTTTTTCTTTTTTTTTGAGGCAGGGTCTCACTCTGTTATCTGGGCTGGAGTGCAGTGGCACAGTCATTGTTCACTGCAGCCTCCAATTCCTGGACTCAGGTGATCCTCCCACCTTAACCTCTCAAGTAGCAGGGACTACAGGCACATGCCACCACGCCTGGCTAATTTATGTATTTTTTTGTAGAGATGGGCTCTCACTATGTTGTCCAGGAGGGTTTGGAACTCCTGGACTCAAGCGATCCTCCTGCCTTGGCCTCCCAAAGTGCTGACATTACTGGCATGAGCCACCTCATCTGGCCATCATTAAAATTTTTATATTTAAAAATAATTTCGTTGGCCGGGCGCGGTGGCTCAAGCCTGTAATCCCAGCACTTTGGGAGGCCGAGACAGGTGGATCACGAGGTCAGGAGATCGAGACCATCCTGGTGAACATGGTGAAACCCCGTCTCTACTAAAAAATACAAAAAACTAGCCGGGCGAGGTGGCGGGCGCCTGTAGTCCCAGCTACTCGGGAGGCTGAGGCAGGAGAATGGCGTGAACCCGGGAGGCGGAGCTTGCAGTGAGCTGAGATCCGGCCACTGCAACTCCAGCCCGGGAGACAGAGCGAGACTCCGTCTCAAAAAAAAAAAAAAAAAAATTTCGTCATGAATTTTATCGTTTTATATAACAACTCTTGTTGAAGCCTTACTTTACACCAAAGTGAACAAATCAGAGGAAACCATAACTCATTTTGGAATTTCACTCATTTGGTAGTCACTTGTTTGCTGGCTACTGTGTTCCAAGTACTGTGCAAGTGGCTATGTTAAGATAGAAATCCCTGTCTCAATCATGTCACAGTTTTATGGAAGACGAGAAATGTATTAACACTTTAATTACATGTAGTTAGATTTCCAACCAATTCTAGCTTTAGGAGCTTTGCTATATCTAGAAGGGAATAACATGCTTTCCTAGGGGTGAAGGCACCCTTTGGAAATGGTTAAAAGATTAGAAAAGTAGACTTGGAGAATATGTCTGACATACTGTGTTTGGTCTGTTTCCTGAGCAGAAGGAAAGAAAGAATCTTGTTGGTAACATTTATGGAATGTCATCTGATTCATGTGAAAGTCAAGGCAATAGGGGAAATGATAGGAAACAGAGTAGGCAAACAAAAAAGAAGAGTTGGAAGAAGGAGGGAGCTTATGATAAACCAGGAAGTTGAGTTTAAAAATAGTATGGCACAGGCAAAAAGCGAGATACTGTAACAGGGGTATAAACTGTATATATTGACATCAGTGATAAAGGAGAGAGCTAGTGACCAAAAAGCCTCTTAGAAGAGTTTACAGTTTTCAAGGACTGAAGGGAGAACAGCCAATTCAAGGATCATACTTTGGCATACTAAAACATATGAGGCAGAGGCCAGGCGCAGTGGCCCATGCCTATAATCCCAGCATTTTGGGAGGCCGAGGCGGGTGGATCACCTGAGGTCAGGAGTTCGAGACCAGCCTGACCAACATGGTGAAACCCTGTCTGTACTAAAAATGCAAAAATCAGCTGGGCGTGGTGGCACATGCCTGTAATCCCAGATACTCAGGAGGCTGAGGCACGAGAATCACTTGAACCCAGGAGGTGGAGGCTGAGTGAGTTGAGATCATGCCATAGCACTCCAGCCTGGGCGACAGAGTGAGACTTCATCTCAAACAAACAAACAAACAAGCAAATAAATAAATAAATATGAGGCATATTTATGAGGCAGAGAAATATGAGGCAGAGAAAGTATGTGTTTGCTGGGGGAATCCTTCCCAGACCTTCCCCAGCCTTTGAAAAAGTTTTTCTTGTGTACTTAATTACTATGTTAGGCTGTAGTAATATTTTAACAAGCATAATCACTGGCTGCTTCTGATGCCTTTCAAACTTTTTCAGTTTTTGAGACAAAGTCTTGCTCTGTCACCCAAGCTGAAGTGCAGTGGCCTGATCATGGCTCACTGCAGCCTCATCTCCTGGGCTCAAGCAATCTTCCCACCTCATCTTCCCAAATAGCGGAGATTACAGGTGTGTGCCACCATGCCTGACTAAATTTTTAACTTTTTTAGAGACTAGGTTTCATTATGTTGCCCAGGCTGGCCTCGAACTCCTGGACTCAGGCCATCCTCCTGCTTTGACCTTCCATAGTGTTGGGATTACAGGTGTGAGCCACTGTGCCTGGTGTGTTTCAAATTTGAAGTTAGTTTTATGATATAAAAATGGAGAAAAACATGACTTACCTCTTGAAAACTGAGGGAATAGGTTGGAGGAGAAGGTAAAAATACATTACTCCTTCGGAAAGTTAGAGAAAGTTAGAGGGAGTAAACAGTGGAAGATAAGTCAGGTAAGTGTAGCATTCTTATTTTTAACATAGCAATTGTCATAAGCTGTCGCAGTTAATTTCCAGGAATAGCCAAGTATACTGAAAGTGTGTATTTTTATTTCTTTCTCCGTAGTGAACAGTTCTGACTCCTTGAATTTCTTCTTGCAGCTCATGGTTTTTGGCTAGACCTGTGATCATTTTCGCTGGACTTCACTGCACGCTTTCTCAGTATCTCCTTCGTCCCTAATGTGTGACACCTCATCATGGACATGCTACTTTAGCTAAGGCATGGCCAGCAATGAACAGCAGTAAGGTAGGATTACTTTATTCTTCTTGATAAGACACTAAAACAATTTTTATTTTGGGTCTCTGAAATTGTGACTTGTCTTGATTTTGTAGTATTCTTATGTTAGATTATTCTCCTGTCTATGTGGGCTATTATCGTTTTATATTCATGTTTATTTATCTTTTGCTTGTCATCTATCCCAGTTATTTGATCTCATTTGTGACATAATTATTTTTCTCAACTAACACTTATAATTAGCAGAATCCCAATCTGTATCTCCTCCTCAACCTGTGCGCCCATGAGTCCTATTTTTTTAACCACTTGACACCAAACTGAGCATATCACATTTTTCTTCTCAAATACTTGCACTTTGTTCTACATTTCTGTATTTCCATTAATAGCATTATTAATCTCATTGTCTAATATAATCGTATATTCGTTGACTATTTCATTAATTAATTTGAGGTACATTGATATTCTAAGTATCATATGGTGTGCTGCTTCTGAGCATATAATGATGACTATGCTGGATGTTCCATCCTTATTTCCATCCTTATATTCTGAGGGAGGGGACAGGTTAAAAATAAATTGACAAAACAATTATAATACAATTTTTTTTTTTTTTTTTGAGACAGAGTCTGGCTCTGTCACCCAGGGGAGTGCAGTGGCACCATCTCAGCTCACTGCAACCTCCGCCTCCTGGGTTCAAGTGATTCTCCTGCCTCAGCCTCCCAATAGCTGGGATTACAGGTGCTCACCACCACGCCTGGCTAATTTTTGTATTTTTTTAGTAGAGACGGGGTTTCGCCATGTTGGCCAGGCTGTTCTCAAACTCCTGACCTCAGATGATCTTCCCGTCTCGGCCTCAGATGATCTTCCTGCCTCGGCCTCAGATGATCTTCCTGCCTCGGCCTCCTAAAGTGCTGGGATTACAGGCGTGAGCCACTGTGCCTGGCCTTGTAATACAATTTTTTAAGGAAAGCAGAAAAACAGATAATATGGAGATGAGGAGGTAGAATCTACTTTAGATAGGGTCATATAAGACTCCTCTGAGGGGCTGATATTTAAGATGAGACCTATTCTATGAGAAGGAGCTATTTAAAGAGTGAGTATTGTGTGTGTGTTAGGGCAGGGGAAGGGAGTTGTTTTTGATTGGAAGAGCATTCTCATTAGAAGGAATACTGTGTGCAGAGACCCTGAATGAGGAAGGAGCTTGGTGAATTTGAGGAAGCAAAGAATACCAGTGCGGTTGACATAGTGAAAGAGGCAGATTTGAGTAGGAAGAGATTATAGAACTATTTAGGGCTTCGGAGGGTTTGGCCCGGGGTTTGCATCTTACATCATTTTAACTACTGTGTGAGACAGGGACTGGTTGAAATGAAAGTGAAAGCTAGCTTTAAGGAGCTGAGGTAAGATAGTGGTGGCCTGCATGATGGGGTTGTAGCAATAAGGGAGAGATGGATGAATTTGAGATGCATTTTCATTTTTTTTTTTTTTTTGAGACAGAACTCATAGGACTTCTATATTGTTTGGGCATGGAAAGAGGGAGAACATACTCAAGGATGACATCAAGAATTTTGGTTTTTGAGCAGCTGATTAGAAACTGGTATCATGTACAGAAACCTTTTAGAAAACTATCTTTCCTGTTAACTGATACATTGCTTATTTTACCAAAAGGCAATTAACTGTAGTGCTAGAAATAACATTAGTGCTGGAAATAAAGCATCTAGCAAATTTGTAATATATACTAGTTAATACTTTATTTTGCTTTTTTCCCACTAATAATTATTATTAGTATTATTATTTTTTGAGGTGGGGTTTCGCTCTTGTTGCCCAGGTTGGAGTGCAATGGCACAATCTCGGCTCACGGCAACCTCTGCCTCCCTGAGTTCAAGTGATTCTCTTGCCTCAGTCTCCCGAGTAGCTGGGATTACAGGCATGTGCCACCACGCCCGGCTGATTTTGTATTAGTAGAGATGGGGTTTCTCCACGTTGGTCAGGCTGGTCTCGAACTCCCGGCCTCAGGTGATCCTCCCGCTTTGGCCTTTCAAAGTGCTGGGATTACAGGCGTGAGCCACTACGCCTGGCCTTGTATGATTTTTAATTAATTGTGAGTTAAATTTTATCTGACTTCATAGTCTTTCTGGAAGTGACAATAATTGGTCTATACTTTTATACTGAGTTTTAAGTCTACTCTCCCTTGCATTCTTTTAAAACAGATAATTCTTTTAAGGTTTTTGGCCAGTCTGAAATCTTCCCAGACTGTTAATTCAAAGTTCTAATATGTAATTTTATTGTTATTTTATTTTGAAGATTTCCTTTTTTCTTTCTTTGCGGGACAGAGTCTCGCTGTACTGCCCAGACTGGAGTGCAGTTGCACAATCACAACTCATTGCAGCCTGGAAACGGAGACAGAGTTTTGTTATGTTGCCCAGGCTGGTCTCCTGAGCACAAGCCATCCTCCCACCTCAGCCTCCCAAAGTGTTGGGATTACAGCTGGGAGCTACAGTGCCTGGCCTATTTGGAGATTTTCAAGCATCCCACCCTTAGATGTATGTCATACTAACCTCACTTGAAAGCATCTAGCTTGTCTAAATTCCTAGGAGGTTCATTTATTATCTTTTTGGTTTTACAGCTTCATCAGAGGATATTTATATTCAGCTTCTTAGGATTGATATTTTAGGTGCAAAGTAAAATGGAATAAACCTTAAAATAAATCTATGTATTATTTGTTTCTTCTAAATTCGTCAGTAGTCCTATCTTTCACCTTTTTCTCTGAAAAAAATTTTTTTTATTTTTTTTTGAGATGGAGTCTCACTCTGTCACCTAGGCTGGAATGCAGTGACATGATCTCAGCTCACTGCAACCTCTGCCTCCCGGGTTCAAGCAATTCTCTGCCTCAGCCTCCTGAGTAGCTGGGATTACAGGCACCCACCACAATGCCCGGCTAATTTTTGTGTTTTTAGTAGAGACAGAGTTTCACCATGTTGGCCATGCTGGTCTTGAACTCCTGACCTTGTAATCCACCTGCCTTGGCCTCCCAAAGTGCTGGGATTACAGGCTTGAGCCACTGTGCTCGGCTCCTCTGAAGAATTTTTAAGATGTTTTCTCGAAAAAGAGTTAGTAGTTGTCTGTGCTCTCTATAAAAGGCATTTGGTTATCTGTTTTAACTATTTTATTTTTATCCGTACAACAGTTCTATTTTTTCTACTTTGCATACGGTTATCTTTTGAGTTTTAGAGCTGAGAGGTAGTAGTAGAATTTTAGTAGTAGTAGGATTTTATAACTGAAAAATGCCTTGGAGATTTTTCTACTTCCTTCTCCTTTAGCTGGGACCTAGAGAGGTTCTGTGACCTGCCCAAGATCATGTAGCTGGCTGTCATGATTCTTGAGGCTAGTGCTGATTTCACTCATCATGCTTCAAACTGGCCTCCTCTCATGCTTTCTGTATTTCTCTCATTTCAACATTTATTGAAAATGTTCAGTGCCACATCAAAATTGAGCATATAGGACAATGAACACCTCTGTTACCTTTAACCTGGACTTACCGTTAACATTTTGCCACGTTTTCTTTCTTTACGTGTTCATATATTTAAAAAATCATTTGAAACAATAGTAAAGACATCATGATAACTTAAAGCTTTTAGCGTGCAGATCCTAAGGACATGGATAATTTCCTACATAATCAGAGCACTAGTATCATATATAAGAAAATAACCATAACATTAAGAATATATTTGTCTTTTTGTTCATTTTGGCTGCTATGACAAGATACCTGAGACTGGGTAATTTATAAACAACAGAAATTTATTTCCCATAGTTATGGAGTCTAGGAAGTCCAACATCAAGACGACAGCAGGTTTAGTGTCTGGAGAAGGCCTGTTCTTCATAGATGGTGCCTTTTTGGTGACCTCATATGACAGGAGGGATGGAACTGCAAAGGGGAAATGCAGCTCTCTGCAGCCTCTTTTATAGGGCATCATTCTATCTATGAGTGCAGATCATTCATGGCCTAGTCATCTCCTGAGGACCCCTACTCTTAATACTGTCACCTTAGGGGGTTAAGTTGAATTTTGGAGGGACACATATATTCAAGTCATAGTAGTGTTTAATGCAGTGGTTCATTTTAAGATCTCCCCTGTTATGCCTAATATACATATTAGGCATTAACCTTGTAGTATAGTTTGAAGTCAGGTAGCGTGATGCCTCCAGCTTTGTTCTTTCGGCTTAGGATTGTCTTGGCAATGTGGGCTTTTCTTTGGTTCCATATGAATTTATATATATATTTATATTTGCTGTTGTTGTTGTTGCTGTAGGATTCAAGCAGGTTTCATGGATTGCATTTGCTTCTTATGCCTCTTTATTCTTTTTTATTTTCAAACAGCTGCTTGCTTTTTCTTTCATGATCTGTATTTTCTTTTAAGAGAGAAAATTTGTATGTACTTAACATCTCTTCTGAGAATTGCCTGGTTTCTTAGAATACTGTTCATCCAAAATTTATTTGCAGTTTGCCTTTTTGTTTAAATTCTGAGATAGCTGGAGGCAACATTGTCATTTCCAAGCTTTTTTTTCCCCAAAACATAATTTCAACTTTAAATATACATGATATCAGCTGCGGTTTTTACATTTGGTTGCATTAAGTTAAAGATAAGAAAACTGGGAGATGTATGTTGGACTTGATCTGCTGGCACTAGTCAGCAATTGAAATTCAAGGAGTTCCTCCTCCACCCTCCATTGCCTATACTCACCTTCTAACCAGGAATTCTATCTAGGAATATGTATCTATTAATAGTAGTTTTGGACATTATAAAGCAGTAGCAGTCTAGTCTTTCAAAAATGCATACTTTCAAATCAGAAGTAGATTAAAATGCAAACGATGTGTAAGCAAGTACACAGAGACACTCAGAGCTAAGTACAATAAGAAAAGATTTAATTAAATACCTTCGCTCTGGTACTTGTGTAGAACTGTCACTCAGTGAGTGTTGTCTTTTACCTTCTTTTTTTTTTTTTTTTGATTTCAAGTATTT